ATATATATATATATATTGATACATACACAAGACAAAAATAAAAAACTCTAGATCTGGATATTTTCAGATGATTAAATTAGACTTGCCCGAAAATAGGGGGACAACTGATATACCACAAACAAATTTTTATTATTCGACACGAATCCTGAGACAATATTTTGAACAAGAAATATTAAAAACTTGATAAAAAAATCATTCAGAGCTGCGATTTCAACAAACTTATAGTCAAACTAACCGACTCGATAAGACAGACCTAATGATATCAATGTCAGTCCAATCCGAGTCAGATCAAACCCATATCAAATCATTAAACCGCTTTTGAAGGATTTTCAGACACATTTAGAAGGTCAAATAGATGTTGAATTTAGCGAGTTCATAGCCGAATCGAGCGTACCAACAAGTCAAATCCAACGAGCCCAATAGCTCAATTCTGACATCGTTAAGGCACTCAATGTCCATCAATTGCCATCTGATTGAGAAAGAGTCTTCGGACCGCCCGATCAAAATGATTCATATTCATACATTAATTGCACCCATAACACTATAAATAGTGCCCCAATTCTCGCATGAGGAAGGGCTTGAGAGAGAACTTGAGGCTTTGAGACAGAGCTAAAGTCCAACATCATTTTCTGCCATCTTTGATTGCTGTTGATCCCGGGGGCCGCCGCCGCCCCCCGCCGGTAGCCGTCAACCACCGTCGATCACCGCTGACCTCTGTCGACCACTACCGACCTCTGTCGACCATCGCCGGTCGTCATCAACCACCACCAGCCGCCGCCGACTGCCGTCGATCACCGCTGACCTCTGTTTACCACCGCCAACCGTCATCGACTGTCGTTGACCACCACCGACCATCGCCGATCACCACTGATCTTTGTCGACCACCGCCGATCACCACTGACCTTTGTCGACCACCGCCGACCATCATCAATTGCCGTCGACCACCACCGACCACTACTGACCAGACGTCATCAGTCGACGTTGTAACTTGAAAAATCTAGCATCCCGTCCGTGGCACTAGGTATTTCTGTGATCATCAATCAATAGTGGATTTTTATAACTAGGTCATACCCTGTGGTTTTTTCCCTTTACGGGTTTTCCATGTAAAAACTTATTGTGTCATCACAAATTGTTTCTCTTTCATCCAAGTTTGTGCTGAAATCTCGTGCAATGCTAAAACGATAATCCATTAATCTACTACCGCCAATTTTCTAGCACACATCACATAAGATCTTACATCCTATGATGTCCATGACAATGCACGTCTTTGATGGCTATCACACCTTAATATAGAACTTTAAAAAATGATGAGTTGTTTAATAAGTGATTTTATGGGCACATTGACAATTGGAGTAATATGAGAACATAGATGAACTTCCATGCTCAAAGTCTCCTTGTAAATAGAAGAGTACCATCTTAGATAAAATCCTAAGGTTTACAATAAGATAATTCATTTGAAATTTTAAGAGTTTAATTTTTTCTTATACATATAGTATGATAATATTTCTCTATGAAATTTAACAAAAATCTAGCCAAATATGAAAAAAAGGAAATTAAATTCGGTGACCCGTTAAATCATTTTTCTTTTCCTTTTTTTTTTTTGATATAAATTCAGATTCTTTGAATCAAATTATTTGGTGGATTTAACTGATTTAACATATTTAATTTGGGAAGAAGTAATGCCTATAAGTGTCTGAAATAAAATGAAAAACAGGTATACGAATTATAATGGGATTTATTCTCAACTTATTCTCAATTTAACAATATATGGATTTGATGAAATCCAGCTTATGGAACTTATTAAACTTAAATCATGAGTGGAGGCTTGGAGCCAAACACCACGTAAGTTAGAAAAATTATTGCAAACGGACAACGCAAACAGAGATGCATGCGGTGTCCGATCAACGCCGTAGATCACGGTGATATACGGTGAGGATGTATTTCGGTAAGCCCTACTTTAAAATTTTTATTTTTATTTTTTTATAAAAAATTGATGGCTCTTGTCCCTCCCCTCTCATCCATCCCTCGAGCCCAAAACCCAAAACCCAAAACCCAAAACCCAAAACCCCTTCTCGTTTATCTCTCCTCGATCTGTTTTCCACCGCAGCCTCACTCATCTTCTCTCCCTGCAGTGCCGCCTCCATTGTCTTTTTTGGAGTTCCCAATGGAGCTTGGCTCCCACTTCTGTCGGAACTCACTTCCCCACTTCCCCTCTGACATCTTTAACTCACCTCCTCTCCACCAATTTTGCTTAGTGCCTGCGTTTCCAACCCGAACAAGGAGGCTGCGCCGGAGTAAAGTCGCTCTTTATTCCTTCAGAGCCAATGCTTTTGGAAAGGAAGATGGCTCTGGAAATATCTCCTGGGACAGGGTTTCTTGGTCAGTGAAGGTTGGGTCCGAAAGGTTCTGGTCTAAGTTTAAGGGAATTCTGAAGAAGGAAACGGGGCTTGATCCTGATGGCGGGAAGCTGCTGGGAGGATTTGCTGAGGCTTTGTACAAAGGGAGGATGGAGGTCGATCGGTTCAGGCTGGAGATGCTGCCCGCATTTGTGGACTGGAATCGATGGGAGAATTGGAAGGTGCCCGTCTTGATATTGAGATGCTTTATTTTATTTTCTTTTCTTGCCTGTTTCATGTAGGGCTGTAAAAAATGTTGTTTGTTTTTATATTTTTGAATGGTGTCTATATCCCTTGCATGAATACATTTGTTTCAAGATTATGGCCACTTCTCGTCGGAAAGAAGGATGCTTACAATTGCACAACTGGTTGATGATTGTCGAAAGTGAAATCATGCAACATGCACTGATTTTAATTTCTTGTAAAATAGCTTCGTTTTCTGTTCACTATCCTCATAATTAGGATTAACCCTATCCAAAATTTTTGGACTGGACTTACATTTGATGCTAAAGTTATTTACTTTAGTACATATCCTTAAAAGAATCCAAATTTGGAGATATGAACAAAAATGTTTAGCTTTTTTAATCTAACTGGAGTTCTCCTTTTACTTTTATAACTTTTTAAAAAGGGTTTTGTAAAACAAACATTGCTTTATTTGTATTTGCACCTCAAACTAGAAAATTGAAATCATCATCCAGCTTGAGTCATTTGTCAATACTTGACATCTAACTACTTTTTAGCATTTAATAAATGCTATTGCTGATTAACATTTGCCTGTGAGACAACTGTGCAATTCAGAAATGCCAAGTTTGATCTGACATTTATGTTCATTGATAAGCCAGGAACTAAATAAGTGGGAGCCTAAGCGCATTGGTGCCTTCATTTTGTACTCTATCATTATTACAATTTCATGTCGAAGAATTTATGTCACCTTTGCAAGTAATGCATATCAACAAAGCAGGAAGGAACTAACTGAGGCATACATGGAGGCTTTGATTCCAGAGCCAACTGCAGCCAATGTGAAAATGTAAGGTCATAATCAGTTTTGTTTCTTCCACTTTAGTTGTTCACTTTGTTCAGAAGTTGGGCCATATATTCATGATCCCTGCTGCTACTTGTTGTATACGTTCGCTTCATGCTTATACGTTATTTGTATGCCATAATTAAAAAGTTAACTGAGCATTGATTGCATAAGTGTGCAGATATGTATTTCAAATTGCATGAAAGGATGCTAACCTACTATAATGATAGATGATCTAGTGATATTCTTTTTAATATTTCTACAATGTTGGTTCCATTTAGTAAAGTGATGGGGAGATAAATGTATATCCTAACATTAAATTCTAAGCTGATCAATTCATGGCTCTTTTTGATAGTTGAATGTGATGGACTCTCATGGATTTATGTTAAAACTTTAGTATGTAATCAAAAAACTGTTTATGCTATTTGCATCAAGGTGATGGTTAATAAATTAGTCTAAACATGAATGTGGGAAAGGGGAACGCGCAGTACCATTTGCTTTGTTTTCTTCTTTTAGACAATAACTATCATCTCATTTCTACTCCGTCTTCCATTGTCAGAACCTGCCCTAGGAACTCAAAATATTGTGATTTATATGGTCAAACATAAAATTAAATGTTTACTGCATGTACTAACAAATTTATAAAGTAATTTATGAGAAATATTTTCAAATAAATGTTCCCATACCCAAAAGAGGAACTAGAACTTGGCCCAATTAATACTCGATAATGTTTGTTCAAATTAATAAATAAACATTTTTGAACATTTTTAAAAATTTTGAAGGTTAAATGAACCAATCATAAATATGGTCCAAATCATTTATTTATGTTTACTAATAATTTTGTTCAATATTCAACAAGTGATTTGTTAACTGCTTTATAATATATTCATTATTCAAAAAATAAATTGTTAAGTGCTTTATAGTAAGGGTCTATTTGGGGCAGTTGCAGGTTATTTAAAAATTGTTGTGTAATAGCTGTGACAGGAAACTGCTGACAAAAATTGCTGCGGATAAGCTGACTGTCTGTTTGTTTTTCCCAGTTTTGAAATAGCCGTGCTGCAGCTGTTTATGGATAAATGACCATTTTGCCTTTGTATTATATTGTTGTTTACAACATAACTAATCCTGCTAGCACAATCAATATTTAAAACAAATATCTAGTTTGAACATTAAAAAATAAAAGCTGTAACTTTTCTATTACGTTTTTCTCTATCCGTGATATTCATCGTTTATTCACTTATCACATAAAAAAACACCGAGTTAAAATTAAATGCATTGCACATAAAAAAGATAACAAATAAAGAACACTCTACTGTAAGAAATGACTCGAAGATGTCCAAATAAGAAAAAAACCTAAAATCCAAACAACATAAATTAGTCCATCATATGATATGTAATTCACACATCTCGATTGTCGTAATAATATCACAATTAATTAATTCTACGGTCGACTTTCATCAACATGAAAAACTCTCTCCTGGTCGAGTCTTCTAATAATTTATTGGAGAACAAGTATAACGACGGGTCCTCATCAGTTTATGGAGTATCTTCCATAATTCTAACCTGCCGAATAGAAGTTGCATGTGACCTACTAGGCTCACTGGTGCATGAAGCCACCAATTGGAAGATCCGATTTTTGATGAAAGCAATACCTTCCTTTTTCTTTTTCTCAACCATGGGGCCCTTGGATCGACTAGTAGATCCTAGTTCATGTAGGCTGGGGTTGGAGTCCTCATTGGACCCAGCTGATCGCTCCGCTTCTAATTGCTCAGAACGGGCTCCGAGCCCTCTCTCGCTTGGTGCCCATGCTTGCTTACCTGTGGCCACCACTCTATCGGACATATGCTCCAACTCATCTTCAAGCTCAGGGCCATTGCCACTTAATTTGAATTTTTTCGCAATTGACACCATCTACAAATCAATTGATAAATCTCTAAATTGATCAATGACAACGTTGAAACTTTAAAATGATTTTACATTTAAAAAATTCTCACATCTAATCTCTCCGTCCACCATTCTTCAAAAGCATCGATGGCTCACTTTATAGGATCTCAATCTAAGTCTGTGGATCATTGTTTTAGCTCTTTCCATATGTTCCATTCATTTTTCAATTGAATCCATTTGTTCTTAAATTGCATTCTATCATACTCTCTCCGTGCTTTCTTTATACTTTTTTATTATGTTCTGGCTACTTTCTTGTCAAAATAGGTGGTTGAACTTTTTCCCAACTCGACTTCTTTGACACATAGGTCACAAAATATTAATGTCATCTTTTTATCTCATGTAGCGGACGAACCAATTCTTTTGCCTTGCTCATTACGACAACTAGCATGCAAAGAACTAAAGATCATATATTCATTGGGAGATAAAAAATTTAGGAAACATAAACATTCGCAACGCCACCACCGCATCGCAACCATCACCACCATATTTATCAATACATCACTCTGCCTCATCACCCCGTCCACAACACACCACACCACACCACAACCTCTACACCACCTACAACCAACATCACCAAGACATCAACACCACACCACACCGACCTCCAAACCACACATCATCACCTTTACATCACCTACCACCAACATCAATAGCACACCACCACCATATCACCAAAACACCAACGCCACTTCCACACCACCACCTCCAAATCATGCACCACAACCTCCAAAGCATGCACCACCACCTCCACACCACCTACCACCAACATCAATAGCACACCACCACCATATCACCAAAACACCAACGCCAACACCACATCACCACATCCACACCACACACTACCTCCACACCTACCACCAACATCAGTAGCACACCACACTACACCACCACTTCCACATCACCTACCACCACATGATCAAAACCACTATTTCATACCAAACCAAACACAACTAAAATCACAACACACCAATAACATGACATACCAAACGCCACCAACAACATAATCCCCAAAACAACTGTAAAATGATCACCACCAACAACCAGATCACGACTTCACCAAATAGATAACATAGCACTATATTTCGGTATCACCAACAACACCTTAATTTCCCCATGCCAACAATCACAACACAGGGAAAATGGGTAAAAAACAAGGAATTTGCATACCACGGGAACCAGCCAAATCACAACACCAAGCATATCACAACCTTCCACCAATTTCTACATACAAAGCAAATCATAACCTTCCTCCAATTTCCATATTATTTCCAATGAAATTTTCACATACCAAGCAAATTACAACACCATAATTTTCACATAGCAAGAAAAATCGCAAACTCAACATCACATGACAACTATCCTCCAATCCATGAACAAAAAATAGAGCATAGAGAAACCAAGTCATCATAGAGCACAGAGAAACACAAAAAAATTGCAAAATCAAAATACCTTATGTAAAGAATACATTGGGGTGACGGAAAGCACAAGATCCAAATAGAGCCGAAGAACAGAGGGAGTGAGAGAGGAGAAGAAAGGCAGACTCACCACAACAATCACTGGAACTAAGCAAGCCTAGCCACCGAAGCCACAGAGGGGAAACTCGAAGAAGAGAGGGGAGAGGAAAGAAGAAAGGCAACCTCACCGCAAAAACTGCCACAACCAAAAAGGAATCGGGCAGAACCCTAGCCACCAGAGCCATTGAGAGGAGAGACAGGGGCACGCGAGAGCAGAATACGAGAGCACAGAGAGCCACATGGGGTAAAAAATAAAATAATTCTCTAATAAATGTGGGTCATGCCACGACCCGCGTTTAAGGAGTTTTTCTCAAAGCACATTACAGTCACGATTTCTAAACGCCTTAATTCGACGTTTCCCCACCACAACACGACTTTTAAGCCGCGCCAAACGCACCATAAGTTTGATGATCATTCATATCATATATAATATATTAATTGAATAAAATTTGATTAATAAAAACTTAATTAATTATATATTTAATATTAATATATTATAATTCAATTTCAAAATGCATTATAATTTAATGCAATTCTTTTTTTTTTCTCAATGAAACAATTTGTTATTACTTATGTATATCATCACAAGAAATTTACTTGCAACTTATTATTATATTGCTTGATTTGTGTAAACTAGTAAGATACTAATTTGAAATTGATTCAATTGCTTATTTATTTAAATTTTTAATATCATTTGTTTATAACTTTATATAAAAATATAAATAATCATTCAAGTTTTAACTTGTTTATCAACTCGTTCGATTACTCATTCAATTTATATAAATAAATCAAGTACAAATCAATTATGGTTTTTAAAATTTTTAATTGAGGTCTGTATGAACATATATGTGCATGCTTGGCTTGAGCTTGAGCCTCATATGAACAAGTTATAATAAAGCCAAGCCAAACCCAATCTATGATATACTCGGCTGGATTACAACCCTAATTATATTTTTCATTAAATTTACTGCTAAATTTTTTGAATAATAATTATCAATTAATCGGGAAGAGTTATATTTAAAAATATAATTTAGTGGGTAAATTATAATTCTAAACTACAACGAAAGAGAAGGAAGTGTATGCTTGCTACTTATCTTATTTAAGTTTCAAAAAAATCATTAAACTCATCTTTTATTTTTAGTAACAATTTTGATCATAAAGATTTCTTAGATGCCAAAATTATGAGCAATAAATAAATCATTATATTCATTAAATAATAAGAACATGGCCAAGAACTAAGTATCATTAATTATTTGTTATTTTTTTATCTGCACTTAATACATCAATCTTAGTATTTTTTTGTCTAATCATAAGTTTAACTCACAACTTATTGATACTTTTTATTTGCATATCGAGGCGTAGTTCATATAATTATTATTTTTTAGTGGAAAGTCATCTAGCGCACCGCAGACTTGTACATTTTTCATCGGTATAATCGGGCTAATAATGTAAAATTTATGGTCATTAATGCGGGGGTACATTAGCATCCTAAATTTGTACTATAAAGAGGTAACTTCGTCTTTCAACACGCATTTGCATGCATTTTTTATATTTTTGTTTTGTATTATTTTCAATACACATTATTCATATGGAAGGACATTGCATTTGAATAGAATATATTTACTTAAAGAATTGAAACATTTATCTCATTTATAAGTACGAAGAATCATTAATTGGAGATAGAGAAATCATTCTAAACTATTTGAAATACAATCCTTTAGAAATTATACTTTTTGTATGCTTATAAAGAAGCTTTAAATATAAATAAAGAGAAATCATTGTAACTTATTTGAAATATAATCTTATAGGAATAGCACTTGTCTTGTGTTTATAAAGAAGCATAAAACATAAGCTTCTTAAATCAGTGCATAAATTTAAGAGAACGGAAATCTAAACCTCTGTGCATAAATAAGATTTCCAATTTTTAACAATATTGATATGGACTAAAATCTTGTGACATTGAATTAGCACCCCACTATTTTTTATTGTAAATTAACACTTAAATTCCTATAACAAAAAAAAAAAAAAAATCCTATAACAAATATATTGTGCTTCAAGTATTCCTTTTAAAATATTACCAAAGGAATTATTTTGTTTTAAAAATTTTTATAATTTATTTATTAATCAATTTATCTATGGTTACATAAACTTCTTAACTTAATTCACACACAAAAGCGTCAATAAATGACATGACTTGAACGAACCTGAATGGAAAAATTATGGTTTGAGTTGATCTGAATACATTTGGGTCAGGTTCGGGTTGCATATAGACTCTATTATTTGAGTTTAGGTTCATGCCAACTTGATAAACTCAAATTTGACACAATTATTATTTGAGTTAGGGTTAGGCAGATTTAGATTGAGTTAAATGGGTTAAACATGCCATATTTAAGTTAATTGCATTGTATTGTTTCAAAACATTTTATTATCTATATCATAAACAGGTTAGATGTGTCAGGTTTGGGCTGAGTTAGGTTCGGGTGAAATCGAAACATAAATATTTTAACTGAAATTCAAATAGGTTACAATGAAGTCTCTCCAAAACATGAAATAGATGACAACAAACATAAAAATACACCATTGGGTGAGGATGGGGGTGGTGGATGGCGGCTAGACAATAGGTAGGGGTCGGATTTGATGTGAATGTGAGGGCAAGAGGGTTGGAAGTGGGCTGTAGCAGCAGCTGAAAAGCTGGTGAAAGAAGTTGTGGTGGCTGTCCGACAGGTTAGAGGAGTAGGCACTAGCTTTGAGAGGATGGGTGGAGGTTATGGGAGAAACTGGAAGGTGGTTGCTGCAGGGAAGACAACAACTAACGGGAGGAGTGTTGAGGGCTGCGGCTGGGAAGAAGGGAGGAAGGTAATGGGAAGGTATAAAGTCTGGGGGCTGCAGTAGACAACAAAACTGCTGCCTTTGGGGTGCACTGCAGCAAGTACGACGAAGGCGATGGGGAGAGAGATGTTGCGGGTGAGGGGGAGGTTGCATATAACCACCACCTAGGAGCAATATACAGCCGAAGCATCATTCGTTCTCAGTTACAACTCTAGAAGGGACAAAGGGGACGCTGATAGCTGTTCAAACACAACAAACATTCTGTTTATAATAAAAAAAGATAACCAGGAGGGATCCTTCTTGGGCGACAGCAAGTCCCAACCCTAATTAGGGTCGGCTAGTTCAACCTCTATGCTGAGCCGTGGGCGGGTTCAGCCTTAGCAGCCCCGCATCCCAAATATTTTGACACCCATGTAATAAAAAAATTTAGTTCAAGTATATTAAGGTTGGGTCAACTTTAGGTAAGACTGAAATTTGTCCCATCTGCTCTAATTAACACTCCTATATTTACACATGCTTACATAATTGAATCATAATTTTTTTTCAAAAAAAATTATGTTTTATTTGTCGTTAGTTTATAAGAGCTTTAGATACCTTTACCTTTAAGTGCATAATTTTTTTAGGCAATTTGGTCCTTCAAATTTTTATTTAGTTCTAAACCATAGATGACTTAGATTAAGTTTAATTTTTTTTGTAATCATAAGCTATTCTTTTCATCAAGCTATGCAAAGGACCATAGTATCATCATTTGCATACTCATGACATGTTTTTGTTAATCATAATTTCTTTCTGACTTTCCCTCATAAACCCTTAATAAAATACATGTACTATACCTTCCTAGATTCATTAGTACCTGCTTTTTTTTTAACTAAACTTTTATAAAATTTTGGATTACAAAAGCTCTATATTAATGAAACATTAGCCCTCTTAATGAATCATCTTTTTGCTTAAGAGTTTAATCTAAGGTTTATAAATTGATTTCATGAATTAATGCAAAAGAAAATCTTGGCTAGGTTTATTTTGTTTCAAGCCTAAAGAGGGGGAAGAAGAAAAGGTGCAAAATCTATAGTTCCTCCTCGAGACGCACCTCAGGCCTCTTTGCTTCAAAGCTCCTGCATTTGGTGTAGCACGTATTTCTGTTCATGCTCGATCTTCCGTATTCAACTTCCTCCATATGTGGTTGCTGTTGTTTGCATGCTCTACATGGCTTTGGCCTGTTGATCTCATGTTCTTTCACCTTTGCCTTATCTTTTTCCCTTGCTTGCTAGCTTTATCTCTATATATATTTTTTTGTTAGCCTCCCTGCATTTCTTAAAAGGTCGTTTACCAACTTATTTTGTCAGTTTAATTGAACCAACTAACAGGTTGGTTTATTTTTTATTATAATTAATTCAATATATTTATAATTTGTTAGTTAATTATCTCATCACATTCAAATAAATTCATCGTGCAAATAGTTCTCTCTCAAAACTATATTCTTTACATAAAAAAAAAAATTATATTATTTATTTTGAGCAATTAGTGCATTTTAAATCATTTGGAACCAGACAACTTGATTAAGCCTTTAAATTATTTAAAAATAACTTTAAATTTTTTATTAATACTTATCAATCAGTTAAATAATATTTTAGGGTTGGGTCTTTACATTGGTTCTATCCATATCCTCCTTCAAATAACAACGGCCTTTTTAGATGGCTACTTACTTGGACTGGGATCCTGTCTGAGCTGGTGGTTTATCTATTATGTGCTTGGGAACTGTTTGTTATTGGAGTTTGATATGCCCTGGCAATCTTTACTGAAATCAATTTTTTTTCTTTTCGTGTATTTTTCAAGCTTGCAACTACTTTTGTTGTTGAACTTCAGTGAGTATGTGTCATAAAGATTTCATTAGTGGAAATTGTACTTTCGGAATATGCTTGCTATTCAGGAGAGTCTGCAACTTTGTGCCATATATTTTTATAAATAATGCCCATCTGATTTTTTGGCAAATTTTACTGTAGGTTCAAGAAGGGCATGTGGAGAAAAACCATGCCTAAAGGCTTAATAGTTAAGAAGTTCACCAAAGGACTTGGAGGAACGTATATTCAGGACAATTCCTATGTTGGGGAAGATGCATGGGATGATGATATTGAAACTTCTCAAGGTGTTGTAAGCGGTATTTTTGACAAGGATACTAGGTTGAGCCATGACAAAAAGGAAGATATAAAAGAAGACTTGGGCTTCTCGGGTTTGTTTGTTTATCTTTATCTTTAAGTGGTGAATTGTTCTCCCAGGATGATGACCCTTATGCAGTAAGTCTAATCTGTACGTGCTTTTGAACCGTTCTGTTATGTTAATAGAAGGCCAAGACTATGGTACCACCTGGAGAGGTCGGCTGAGAATGTGGAAAGAAATCTTAAGAAAGGATAAACTGGCAGAGCAGGTCGATTCTGAAACAGCTAAGTATGTCGTAGATTTTGATATGCAAGAGCTGGAGAAAAGTTTGCGTAAAGAGGTTGAGAGAGCATCAACAAATTCAGAAGGTACTAGAGCGCTTTGGATTTCTAAAAGATGGTGGCTCTACCGCCCAAAACTTCCTTACACCTATTTTCTTGATAAGCTAGATTCCTCTGAGGTAGGCTTCTTCTTTGAAAATCAGTTTTAGCGATCTAAAGTTTCATAAATTTTACGGGAATTCATTCCACCTCCAACTTTTCTGCTATCCAGAAGTGAATTACTAACCTGTGTAGTCTAATTTCATTTTACACAGGATTTGGGTCATTTTTGTTCCCTTTATTAACTTAATATGCAGCAGGAAATGATTGCATGGGAATGCAGGATGGATAATGCAGCTTGGCAGCAACAATTGCATATTTTTACTTTTTTTTTAGTGTTGGATGAAGGAAGTGCAGCTGCTTTTGGCAGTGAAAATAGGTTGCGGTAGATCTGTGCTGGTATTGGGAGCAAGAAAGGCCCGCATTTGCTGCATACAACACATACACAGTAACAGTAATTATGATTCTTAGCGGCAGGCCTGGGAGCTAACAATAGGATGTGGGCGAGTAGAGACTTGAGGTAGAGATGTGAGTGAGTGAGAGACTTGAGGTAGAGATGTGTGTGAGTGAGAGAGAGAGAGAGAGAGAGAGAGAGAGAGGTTATGAGTAAGTGAAATGCTAGGTTGAGAATGAGGAGAGTAATCACGAATATAATAAATTTTACCGAGAGAGTTGGCTAGCTACAGCAAAATTTATCCATATTATGTCCATCATCAGTTATAAGTTCTAGTATTTCTTTCTTTTGGAAAGATCTACATGATTATTCTTAATTAGTACAGGCTCTATAAATTTGCGTTCACTTATTGGAGTATGGTGTTTATGGGTTACATTTTCAAAAGCCATTATATTTAAGATACGGTATTACTCACATATTTCACTTTTATTTTGTGATGACTTTATGATAGTTTTGGGTTTCTCATTTCACGACTTGCCAAAATGCTTGGAGTTATGAAGGTAGGAATAGATAGTCGGACAACAAAAATAAATTTTAAATTCCTAATAATATCACAAATTAATTAGTTAAATCATCCAAATAATTGAAAGAGTCATTGACAAATAAATTTGTTTCAACTTAAAAGTAAAATAATTGTGAATGAAATTTCCTTTCTCTAGTTTAATTGTATATTCTATAAATCATTTTTCTTTTATTTCTCTTTTTCTAACACTGAATTTTTCTCAAAAATATTAGTTTAAAAATAGCGAATTATCAATGACTTAGTGAATGCTCATACCTTTAGAACTACAATAACTTGACGGAAATAGAAATCAACATGCATTTTTGTCAAATATAGTTACTCGGTCTTGAATCAATTGACAATTTATTATTCAAATATGATCATTCAAGGAGATTTAGAATTTTCTATTGTATAGTATAATATCTTAATTTATCTATATCATTATATATATGTTATATTTGTTTTAGCAACACATTTTAAAATGTATCATTTAAATTTATGCAATATTAATATCATTTTTTTACATGCACAAATATCTTAACAACTTTAACTAGTACCATAAAACGGTGAATTCTTTCCGTCAATATGCACATGCAAGCATATTATATAGATCATTTCATTGACAATTCTTATTTTATACAATATATTTATATAATAATTTGATTATATATATGAACAACTTAAACATGCTAAGAGACATTTTTGAGACTTGCACATATTGACATATTAGAGGTCATAAACATTTGTTCTTTTTGTAATGAAAAGTAGTTTCCTGCTTTATGTGTATAAAATTGATTGCATGCTGTTGAAGCACATAATCCTGGACATTCTTAGTTATATGCTAAGGGGTCTATGTTTTACATTTTTCTATGAAGCAGGTTGCGGCTGTTGTCTTTGAAGAGGATTTGAAGAGAGTATATGTGACAATGAAAGAAGGATTCCCATTAGAATATATTGTAAGTCTAAAATTGATCTATAAGATCCATGGTAATTAGATTTCTGCTTCAATTTGCATTGTTAACTCAAGTGTAGTTAATTCAGGATGGCTGCTTGTTTGTAGGTTGATATTCCTCTTGACCCTTACATGTTTGAAGTGATCTCAAGTTCAGGTGCTGATGTGGACCTCCTTCAGAAAAAGCAAATCCATTATCTTCTGAAAGTTGTGATTGCATTAGCGCCAGGATTAATGATTTTATACCTCATAAGAGAGTCAGTTATGCTATTACATATCACATCTAGGCGTTATCTACACAAGAAGTATAACCAACTTTTTGATATGGCATATGCAGAGAACTTCATTCTGGTATGTTTCATGAAAGCAACTATACTAATTTATTTTATAAAAATATTTAGTTCTTGCAATTAGATGCCAAGGAATTTATCTCCCTCGTTTTGGCAAAATTCTAATAGATACTGTCTCCTTCCAGCCAGTAGAAAGTTCCGAGGAGGTGAAATCAATGTATAATGAGGTTATATTAGGTGGTGATGTTTGGGATCTTCTGGATGAGATAATGATATATATGAACAATCCCATGCAATATTATGAAAAGAAAGTGCCATTTGTTCGGGTAATCAATTTCGATTCTTTTTTTTGTAGTTTGCAATATAAATCCTTCCTTTTTTCTCTTACTCCTTTCTGTGATCAATGTTGCTATCCGTTTCATATCTTAATGTTTGCTCTAAGTTATTAATTTTCCTGTTGTGTTTACTAGGGTTTACTTCTTTCTGGACCACCTGGGACTGGTAAAACACTTTTTGCTCGTACGCTTGCAAAGGAAAGTGGACTGCCATTTGTTTTTGCATCTGGAGCTGAATTTGCTGATAGTGAAAAAAGTGGCGCTGCAAGAATTAATCAACTATTTTCGATAGCCAAAAGAAATGTACGTTTATGATTTATTTCTCTCTCCGTATGTCTGGTTCTTGCTCACAAGGAATACTTAAGTTTAAAGGTTGTAGAGAGCTTGGTAGAGATCAAGCACTAATTGTAGCAAATCACATGATTGTAAATATAGGAGGTACAGTTACAATGATTGAAATCATTTGAACATGTTTTGGGCAATTGCATCCATATTGCTTATTCCTGCATGGTTGCTTGGACTATAAAATTTTCAATGCGAGGATTGCATTAGTACAGTAGGCAAGCATTGTTATCTTTCATATATTGCATATTAATTGGTATTTTTCGAGTCTTACTCTAAAAGAGCATCCACATTATAACATTAAACTTTGTGTTTGTAGTTCCATCGAACTCATAGCCTTTTCGTTAATTTCACAATCTCAATTAACTAATATTCTGCCAGGCTCCATCCTTTGTTTTTGTGGATGAGATTGATGCTATTGCTGGTCGACATGCTAGAAAAGATCCTAGAAGACGAGCAACATTCGAAGCCCTAATTACACAGCTTGATGGAGAGTATGTTTTATCAAACTTTCTTGTATGCTTTTTAATTCTTTGTAAGCATGGTTGAGATTTTGCAATATGTTAGAACAGGCTTCTTCAATGAACATGCAATCTTCATTTTAAGATGAATATTGCAGAGGGGTTTTAAACTCCATTTTTTGGATGAATAGGATTGTCACGCCCTTCGACAGCCTCCTTTGATTGAAAGCATGATAGAGGTGGGTGTAAGCCCAATTGACTTAGTTTATCACCAACACCTATTCTGAGTTTCACCCATTAGAACAAAGTGGGTGATAAAATCATTCACTTGAGCTGACCAAATAGATCATATGCCATAAATTTTTAATTCAATGAAATCTATTTATAAACTCAAAAAAATTGAGTGAATGCATTCTAAAACTTTCTTTTGTTCAACTAGAAAACATTAAATAAATAATCTAAACAATGGCATAATAATATGATAAAATTCCTCAAAAAATCTTCTATAATAGACAACAAGGCCTAAGAAGCTCCTAACTTCTGTGACAGTGGTAGATTTGGCCAATTTGCTATTACTCTAACCTTAATTTGATGATTTGATCCACTGTAACATCCTCATTGTTTATCACATGTCCCAAAAATACAATGCATTTCAAGTAAATTTCACATTTAGAAAATTTGGTGTATAATTTGTTTTCTTTCAATTTGCAATGTTGTATGGAGGTGATCTGTGTGATTAGCATCATTCCTTGAATATGCCAATACGTCATCTATAAAAATAGGTAGAAATCTATCCATAAATGGTTCGAAATTATGTTCATAAGATTCATAAAGTTTGTTGGTGCGTTCATCAATCCAAAATGCATTACTCTAAATTAATAATGCATTTATCGTGTACTAAATGTTGTCTTTGCTATATATATATTTTTAATTAGTAGCAGATAGGTATATTGCTGGTCAATTTTTGTCTAACTGATCAAAGGGATTATCAATCCTTGATAATTGATATTTGTTTTTAGTTATGAGCTTGTTTAAACCCCAATAATCAATGCATAATCTTAGAGTTTTAACTTTCTTTTTAACAAACGATGCTGGAACACCTCTTGGTGATGTACTACACCTTACAAAACTCTTCTTTATAAAGTCCTGCAACTGACCTATTAATTGCTGCAATTCCTTGATTTCTATTTTTTATGGCTATTTTACGTTAAAACCTTCACATTGCACTAAATCAATGGAGAAATCTATATTTTTGATTGGAGATGAACCAACTATTGTCTAGAAAGATTTGTGGGTATTCCTTTACAATATCTTCTTTAATTCTCAGCCGTTGATGCATTGAGTCATTGAAACTTATTGTTCATTCTCATACAGTCCAAGGCGTTGGAGTTTGAAGTATAAAGGGATACTTATGCTAATGACGAGGATTTTCAGAAGTCCAATTGCGGGAAAAGACTACATTCCTAGGAGTTATGTTGGGAGTGCATTTTGCACGAGTGCCACAATGGAGATATGACATGACATTTTGGCTAGGATATGATTCTTTTCTTAGCAAATGAAAATTTTTGTTGTCCTTGCTTAGTACGAGATGTGGAGAGGCCTGTCCGGTAGTATAGAATATGCAATTAAACTGAGGTTCGAGGGAAAAATAAAGGTCTTTGTACTCCACTACCTGTTTCAGCGCTGCATTGGGTGGACATGAGCATGGAATACGTTGTGGGTTTGCCCTGGACACAACAAAGGATTAATATGGCGGTGTTAGATTGTTTCTTCAAGATGCATATTTTGTGCCTTGCTATAAGATGGTCGTCACACATATTGACTTATACTTTATAGAGATAATCTGTCTTCCTGGTATGTCCATGACCATGACTTCAGATCGGGATATAAAATTTGTCACTCTTGAAGGACCTTATTGATAAGCTGGGTATAAAACTCGAATTCTGTTTAGCAGCACATCTGCAGACAGATGAACATATTGAGGTGGAGAATCAAAGATTGGGAAATCTCCTCAGGTATTTTGTTTAGTAAAACATCAAGCTATGAGACTGGATTCTTTCATGGGCTGACTTTACTTGCAATAAATTTCTGGCTAGTCCAAAGGTCGCAGTCCCTTTGAGAGATTGTATATGGACGAAATTTCTCACACCATTGGAGTTGGTGCCGATACTATTAGCAACTAAGGTTACCACGAATGCATAGGCTAAACTTAGAGAGATTCATACTCTCCATGAGCAGGGGAGGAGAAAAATAGCCTAGCAAAACATAAAGTACTAGAAGTAGGTTAAGTAGTCCAAGAGCTCCTAGGTTTATAAAAAAAGAGACTTAGTATGAATCAGATTGAAGAAGAAGAGGTTCCCTACAAATTCTTGTGGGAAGCTCAAGCTTTGAGTGACGGCCCGGTTAGAATTTCGAGGAAGATTAATGGCAATTTGAAGATTAATTTACCTGAAGAGTATAACATTTTTGCCACTTCAATTTTGCCAATTTTTTTGCCGTTCTATGAGATCCATATGCTTCCAGTTAAAATGATGGGCCCTCTCTTGTCTGGGTAGAATAACAGGGGTGGTCCTCAGCTCACAAAGGTAATTACTGCAATGTCCTTGGCAGATGCAAGTAGGATGAAACGGGAAGAACTGGTCCCAGCCCGCAAGGGCTGGCTGGGCCCCCTTGATGTTCTTATTTGCTTAGATTATTATTAGGGTTATTTTTATTTTGCAACGTATAAATATGTTGCTAACTTCTGATTTTGGAACTTTCCTTTTGTTTATGAATTTTAGAGATTGATTTCTCTGAATTCTACCCTAAGGAGTGCATTAGCCTCTTCCTTTTATACGTTGTATGCCTAAATTTTGTTTGTGAATAGGTGGTGGATCCATTGGCAGCACCACCTCACCAATATCTCACCATTTGGCTGCATTTCTGCTGTGTTCCTCTTATACGCAGCCAGGACTAATTTTTTCCCTTCCAATCTTCACCAATGTCCCATTTTTCTCTTCATTGCCGTTCTATAACATCTCTCAGCTAGATCCGACCCATAAATACATTCTAGACTCCAGAAAACGATGTCAACTGGAGACCAAAGTGAATTCTATGTTTATTCAAGATACAACTTTGTGTGATACCTGATGTTTCATCATATTTTTGTGCATTTTGTTACTGCACTACTGTTGCATGATTGAATTTGGAACAAAAGTATTTTGTCAATGCTTTACTTCTCTGACAGTCTAGTAGTTCTTTTGAAATGTTTCTCCATATCACATTTATTGGCATTTTTTTTTTATGCAGGAAGGAAAAAACTGGTGTTGATCGGTTTTCACTAAGGGAAGCTGTTATTTTCATATGTGCAACTAATCGTCCGGATGAGTTGGATCCTGAGTTTGTTCAATCTGGCCGCATTGATCGGCGCTTGTACATTGGTTTGCCTGATGCCAAACAACGCGTGAGAATATTTGGTGTGCACAGTGTAGGAAAAAGAATGGCCGAAGATGTGGACTTTGAAAAGGCAAGTAATTTGAAATATGCAACACTCATGTAGTATGATTTCTACCTTCAGTCTTTTGGGTTTTCAAGGTGCGCTGCTATGAAAGGTATTCTCTCTTGAAAGGCACAAGATTTCTAAATTTATCACCAAGTCAAAGCTTTATCACCAAGTCAAAGCAGATCCTTTTAGAGGAAGACTTATATTAGTCACTATTATTTTACCCATCTTCTGTTTTCCAAGGCAGCTTTCAGTTATGTTAACATGACAACAAGGTAAATTTATGACATTGATGTTAAAACTCAAAAGACGCTCCTTTATCTGCCATTCATTTAGGATTTGCAAGCTGTCACATCAATGATTGAGATTATGCAACTGCAATAATTATTAATTTTTGAAGGCATGGATACCAACTCAGCAAAAGGGTTCCTCTAGCTTGCCCTACCAAAGTTGGATAAGACTAAGCTTCTGCTGTTGAAGATTATAAATATGGTAAAGAAATGGATATTAATCAAAACCATTATGGAAAAGAATAAGTGGCTAGGGAAGTTTCAATTCTTCATTCTTTCCAAGTATTTAAACATGAAGTTACATGGAAAGAAAAATGAAATAAATAATTGCACAAACAAGCACAATAAATCACGCCTATGTATTCCTATATTTGATATATTTTGGGATTGTCGAGCTGAACTGGGATTTCATGCCAAGTGTAGTCTAGTGAATTCCCTAGAAACAACCCGAAGTTGGTTCAACCAAATCTAAGGTGACCGTAGTTTGAATCTCTCCGATGGTGGCAGCTATGATGGTAAGCTATCGAATGGAATGTTTTGAAACTCTCTTTGTGAGGGCTTCTCTATGTCTAAAATTGGCACCTCACTCCTATTGTCTTATTTCTTCACCAAAATTGATCTCACAGATGCTTTTCTGTTGTCAAGAGCACTTGTGATCTTGGACTCTGCTAAAGGTAGAAGAATGATGCACTTACCATCCTTGGTGAAGGAGTAGGTGTTCCTGAATCCATCGTGCTTAGTCCTACGATCAAATTGCCACACTCTTCCCAACAAAAGATGACAAACATCCATGGGCATCACGTCACATCACACCTGACCTTGTAGCTGTCTTTTAATCAAACATTGATTTACTACAGGATTGTTTCGGGCAAGCCACCACTGAGCAGATTTTGACGATTCAACCACCTCCCGGAGCACAAAATGCATGGTGGAGCCGCTTCAAAGTTTCTTGGGTAGAACTATTACTTCTTTGGCATACACAACACAGTTTTCCGCCTGTGGTGATGACATGTCTTGGCTTGGGAGGTTTCAGCTGCACCCTAGGGAGACTCCTTCACAATGCCACACCAACTAACGCTTGGCTAGTCAATAGAGGGCTCGTCCAGGATGTTATGTGCCCTTGGGGTTGTAACAAGGAAGAAACTAGGGACCACATTTCTACTAAGTGCTTGATTGTCGTTAATGTGCTGCAAATGCTGCGAAGGTGGGGATTTTCTATCTCAAACTTCAGCTTTATCGATGATGCCACCTGTCGGCCAACTTTTCGATGTGAAAAATTTAATTTAATTTATAAGGTAAAAGGTATATAGTTCAGATTATGAAAGTAGTGTTTTAATTTTTTTTTTCAGAAAATGAGACTGAATGGATCTCATTAGTCCAATAGTTTGCATAATCATGTTTGATACCCTGAATACTACACATTTCAAGAGAAAAATGTAGATTCCGGTATAGACCCAATCCTGCAAACTAAACGATTTGTGACATCTATTTGGTTTGCGAACCTTTTTTATGTGACCGACAAATTTTCCTATTTAATACAAAGATTAAATAAAGTTTATTTTACCTGGGTTCCAAGTTCCCTATAGAGGCAAACCTCTATAGTTAATTATATCCCAAGTGACGGGAGTCACTTGAGAAAACTCTCGATAATAATCAGTGGTTCTAGACTTCAAGAATTCAAAGTTCAGGTTTTCAAGGTAGAACGCGGAAAAAATAACTCAAGTAAGAACAATCCTTTCAGGAATCCAAAGGAAGTAAAGGGTAAGGGATGTCACAGATCCAGAGGGGAATCCTCAACGACCTCCCAAACTATCCTACTGTATGTCTGTGTTTTAGAGAGAAATTTATTTGAATGTTGAATCCCGTCAATTTTATTATTTGGGACTTACATTTGCATAATAACTGGATATGCAAATAACCCGCATGGGTAAGAGGTTTTACGTCGTTCTGGGCGACAACCTCGGAACCTAAGGCGAGTTAGGACTTACGCTACATAACGTGGTTACGTAGGGGCCTAAAAGAGGGTGAGGAATTACGTCGCGCTAGACGAGTTACCTCGAAATCCTATGGGTTGTTTAAACTAAGAAAGTTTAACTGGTGAAGACTTATTTTGCTGTTGTAGAATGACGACCACCTCAACTTGTAGTCTACTCCAAACTCTTTGTCGAGCTGCCAACGAAGTTGCTCCAAATTCCTTGTCGACGCAGCAGTCCTAAAGTTTAAGGTTCAAAATGTTGTACAATGCACGTTTCAATGTCTCAGTTTTGTTGTCATTATGAGGGGTTAAAGTTGATTAGAGCGACACCGACTAGGATCCCACGGTTCCCTCATTCCGGTATCACTATTTTCTTTTGAATTTACTTAGCCTAAATGAGTTGTGAAACCCATTTAAACCGGTGAGATCTCGTTAGCAACCGTGAGTTACCTCCTCCGAGAGACTCCCATAAATTCGAGAGAACGTATTATTTTTTTTTTGTTTTAAAAATGTTGCTTTATTTTGAAAAAAATATTTTGTTTTGAAAGTAAGATTGTATTCAGTACCTGCATAATGTGTTAGAGCAAGAGTAATTGCAATAAATAAATAACAACAAATAAAATATACCTGCATACGTGGCGTATCTGCTGCTATTCCTGTTGCATGTTTAACTCACAAAGCACAATATAATTTGCAGGGAATTTAAGTAAATTACAGAGAAAATAAAAAAACAGTAAACAGTAGAACAAATTGTAGTAACAACTAGGAACTCCAAACAAGTGATCTTAAGGTTTTCTACAACTACTGATTGCAAATAGCGAGCTAGTATGGTGATCCTACGACCTCCTACGGCTCCGAGAAGCAACTAGCAAGTGTGTATGGTGATCCTACTACTCCTGACAAGAGCTAGAAATTTCGAATAACGCCTGTATGAGTTCCTATGAACCAAAACAACAATGGACAGCACCTATGCGACTTTCTACGAACCTAAATCGTGGTGGGCAGCAACTAGATGACTTCCAAATGATGGTGTACAGCTACTAGGTGGCTACCTACGAACCCAAATCGGGGTGGACAGCTCCTAAGTGGTTTCCTATGAATCCAAATCGTGGTGGGCAACAACTAAATGGCTTCTTACAGACCCAAATCGTAGTGGACAGCTCCTAGGTGGCTTCCTACAAACCCAAATCGTGGTGGGTAGCAACTAGATGGCTTCCTACGAACCCAAATAGTGGTGGACAGCTCCTAGGTGGCTTCCTACGAACCCAAATCACGGTGGGCAACTCCTAGGTGGCTTCTTATGAACCCAAATAATGGTGGACAACTACTAGGTGGCTTACTACGAACCCAAATCGGGGTGGACGACTCCTAGGTGGCTTCCTACGAACCCAAATCGTGGTAGACAGCTCCTAGGTGGCTTCCTACGACATCGGACAGCGGTTAGGAGCATTGGGCAACACTCTACAACACATATACAGTGATTAAGTTGTTCAAGATCGACCAATAAAAGTACCTTGAAGCAGTGATCAAGTTGCCAAATGAATAAAATTGTGCAACAGACTAATACTTGCATCTTTTTAACCAAGACATAAATTCGGTTAACACAATTCAATGCAAAAAAAACTATTCGGAGATCTGCAAAAATCAGTCCCTATGATTGGGAGAGCCACTAACATAACAAATGTAAGCAGATAAATAAATTTTGAAGTGTTTATAGTATAGCATAAATTAAGCTAAGCCGTCATGAGATCAAATCTTATAGATGAAAGAATACATGTGAAAGCTTTAAACCAGATTGAATCTACATAAACATAACTAATTCAATTCCTCAGAAAGTTTCCTTCTAGCTTTCATCAGATTCCATAGCTTTAATTAAAGATCTATAAAAAAAAAAGTTTAAGCGAGGAGATCGACCTGAACCGACGAATCAGATCACACTGTAACTGAAACCTCTCCTTCGTGAAGAAGAGGGAGTTCAGGAAGACGCTTCTGTTCGCAGAAGAGGAGCTGGGGTCGAACATGGGAGGAAGGAGGCGAGCAAGAAGCTTTCTGCGATGAGGGAGTCGAGCAGGGGATGATCGAACGAATCCGAGGAGGGGAGAAAGGAGACGAGCCTTCCTGTTCGCAGAGATGGGGTGCCAGATTTGTTCGCAGAAGAGAGGCTAGGGCTTCAGTACGTGAGGCAGAGAGGGGAAGAAGGCGAGTTGCAGAGGAGCGTACGGGAGACGGGATCGAGCTCTGTAGCTTCGGTGCGGGAGACGGGAGAGAGCAAGTGGCTTCGGTGCGGGAGACGGGAGAGAGAAAGCGGGGTTCTTCGGCGCAAGGAGGAGGCGAGCGGGCGAGCAGGCGTTCAGGAAAGGCAGAGGAGGAAGACCAGCGGGACAGGAGCCGACGTTCGGGAAAGGGAGAGGAGGAAGATTAGGCGAGGGTGTCGAGCGGGAGAAAGAAATAGGCAGCGGGAGAGTTAGCCGTTGCTCGAATCAATTGGGCGGGGAATTAAATAGTTTCCAGATGCAGGGGAGGATTAAATAGAATGTATTAACACCTGAATTAATTTTAATTAAGACAAAAATTAAATAATTCGTTTGAATTTTGAAATTTGAATTTCAAATTCAGATGAGCTGGTGCCTAGCTCGTGTTCAGCCCGAGTCCAACTTGAATCGAACCCGAGTCAAACCTGGGCTGAGCCCGGGCCCGGGCTCCGCTAAAAAGAGTGCATCGATATTCGTGCTAGTCGCTCGCACGCGAAACTATAGAGATATGGGTGTCCTTCCTAGCTAAAGTCGGCGTTCCGAACGCGTCTGCGT